TATACTAGTATATATTACTGCAATGTTGGTTGCCTAGCAGGATAAGTCGTGTAACATACATTTTCACCGCCTGGCCAGAAAACTGTACTTTGGGATAGTTGTTGAGATTCTACTGAACAGTGCAACAAGATTACCCCCTATATGTGCAACATGTAAACATTCGGTTGCTCAGGATTACTTCGAAGTTGAGTTTGTGCTGGTTCCTCGACTTTAGGCTTTTCGCCGGCTCTTCGACAGGCGTTCCGCAGCAGCTCGCTCAGAGCCCATAGAAATACATGTTACAGTGATGCGCGCCTTAGCAACGTAGAACGTTCTGTGACTTAGCTCCGCCCCGATGATAGAACCAACAAACTCGCACACTTTATCGACGAAACGCCACTGTGAAGTCAATGTGACGTGGTTGGTGTATGTAAGGACATTGGAATAGACAACTCTAATTTGTTGTGTAGTTTTTTGGCATTTTCAATTTAGTAAATGATTAAAATTCTAATTGGAGGAAAACCACGAGATGAAAACGACGCTTTGAACGACGTACCTTACAACCGATACGTCACATAATCTCATTGTCACTAGAGGGCGCGATATATAGAAACGGATGTATTACAGCGATACGTCGATCATCATGTCACAATAAGTTAATGACCAAGGCAGCCGAAAAATTCAAGATATTTCGTTCTTTGCTCACCTTTAAAAATTGAAGAATTGTAGGAATCACGCCAGCCAATAACTGGACGCACAGATATATTTTTCGAATTTTTCTTTCTCAAAGATTTACGAGCATCATTTTTGCGGCCATTTTGTGGTGAAATGTTAATACATGTATGGTAATGCTATACATAAACGAACACAAAATCATTTCTTACTACATGGATATATATATATATATATATATATATATATATATATATATATATATATATATATATATATATATATATACAGTACATGTGTTTAATTACTTATATAAGATTTGTTTAAACATAAAATAATTATTAATACATCAGGGTAGACAATCATGCAAGAAAAATGTATCACGTGTTCCGAGCAAAAATGTCCAAAGAGTATTTGGGAAATAACCCATCACCTTTTGCCAAAGCCCAAAAAAGTATTATATTTATTCCAGCTTAATTCTCTTTCAAGTGAAATGACAATCGGTCTACTGTTTTGTTACTATTATACACCTTAGTGCCAGCATATCTCAATAAAACTCAACGCCTTTATAGCTTGATCTGAGGAGGAGACAACGCACAAATGCTCTAGTTCAAGGTCTATATCCTTCACAATTTGAACAACGTATTGTTTAATGTGACCACAAACAATTCTCGAGTACTTTGTTGTCCGCGACTACGTTGACCATGCTTCGATTAAACCGGCAATTAAACCGCGAAGCAGCCCCACCGATGACACCGGACTTATACACGACACAGCCGTTTATTCACATGCGCGTAACACGGCGGGCTTCAAGTCACGATTTCTCATTTTATTAAAGATTAAACTGACAGGTTTATAAACTATGGGCGCTTTACAGAGACACCTTATAACAACCTTTTATATCGATTTTCCTGGTATCCGGTAGTGAAGAGACGTGCTGTTAACGGACGGTAAAACCGTAGTCCCTCTATATGGATAGAGTGACTGTGGTAAAACCTATTTTTTTCGCTTATTTGTGACGTAATTTAGAAAATGTGAAAGTGTTACCAAATTTACATATTCCAAGGAATTCAAATCGACTAACAAATATGTATCGAAGTTCTATGAACAATTTGTCCAATCATAAACGTTACTAGACTATTTATACACCGTCCATGGTTCACCTCACGGCGTCTTTGACGCTCCACCTTTCTGGTCTGTTTGCAACGCAGGTTTACGATCAGGGCACACGTGTTGTTCTGATGTCTGACCTATATGTTCCCGATGCTAAACAAACCTGGCCCAGCGACTATGTTAAGCCCAGCTACGTCCGTGTCGCGGTATCACTTTGGCGGTAAGGTCTAGCACTGGGTTAGTTACCTAATTACATACCAGTAGCACCAATCACGGTGACGGCGCTACGACCTTCAAAGATCCGGCGACCGAGTGACGCCGTCTGCCATGTACGACACGTGTGACCCATCGTTATACGCATAACCATTGACAACTGTTTAGTTCGGATGATAATGTGCATTTGACTTACCCTGTATAAAACCAATGGAGGAATCAACGACCGGCACTGCGGGCCATTTGACGGCTATACATACTATTGTTTTGTACTTTGCTCCATGTACAAACAAAAAACTTTATACACAGGTAACCACGGACGACCACAACGGGACAAAGGCCGTACACATTACGTGTTCGCTCAATAACACTCCCAATAGACGTCAGGACAAGAGTAGAAAGTACTGGTGGATGGCGGTAAATTAAGCGTTTATGTGATACGGCATGACACAGGACTGTGACCGTCACCAGTTTAATGGGTCACGGTCGACCATGATTTTTACGGTACATTATTTGTTATAGTGTGAATACTTAAAAACTGTTGATGGAAGCTCAGTGAAAGGCGTATACATATCCTACTAAATTCTCGAAAGTGCGCTTTATCGTAGACCACGTGCATTTTTAATTTTAATGAAATATCATGTTATTCTGTAAAGAATTTCTTCGTTGACATAGCATCATACTGGTATCAATTGACATAGTGGTGATAAAGCATCAGTAGTTTCCATCGGGGAGGGGGGTAACATGAGAAATAGGCCAAATTGGAAGAAATTAAGAAAAAAACTACCACAGAACCGTGAATTTTGATAGATTTGATTTATCCAACAAGAGATGGGACGGGTGGATTAATATGAACTTCCCAATCTCCAGTACAACACTGCATTATATCAGTCTTCTGAGTACGGGCAACTTGACGTGGATTGAACTAAAAGTGTAATATGGAGCTTTACTATTGACTTTTAAATAATGCTAAGCATAGGCCTCTTATACATAATGCTAAGAAGCTTGAACGTATTCACTCAGCCCGAGGCGGTCGTCTTAGACAACCCAAATCATTATATGAAATGGCGTTGTATGTGTGGTATACCTGTAGTGGGCGATGTAACAAGGATACTTTGATTTTGAAAATTATTCCACTCGCTGCTGTCCTTGTCCAAATATTTGTATACTGTTTGATCTATTCACTTCAAAGTAGACGCGGACTCATTTCAACAATCTACATCTGAGTGGTGTACTAGACAAAATAGAACTTAGTTGTCAAAAATAGTTGTCCCGAACAATGATGTTGTCCTTATTGGAGTTTGTTTCTATTTAACAGTGCCTTTTTTCACATACCAACCGCCCACTACACCGAGTATTAACTCTATAATTGGAGATAAAATAAACTTTTTTTGTGTAACTCCGTAACTCGAGGCGGCGAAACGAAAAAGATCTAGACCCTCTGAAACGCTATTCCCTGCATTGTGAGGGACAAATTTTGCTGACAAACATAGCACAAATGGTTTCACCTTGATTTGGGGGGCATGCAGCGACCCCCCTCCCAAAAATTTTTTTCGGGGGTCCACCGCCCCGTCCCGGTGCCGTCTCCACTGGTACTTTATGTCAAAGTACAATGTACTTCTATATTTACGTTCGCCTACCTGAATATGTATCTTCTGACAGACCATTCTTAGACTTTTCCCCGTACATCCGACATATCTTGGAGATCATCAAATTCATTTTCGCTGAAAAAAAAATCTTGGGTGTTTTAGAATTTATTTTCACAGATTTTTGACTGTTAAATATTTAATATGGGGAAAAGGTACATTCTCTGAATTGTATTTTCACTGAATCATCCATCCAGCGAAAATGAAGTATTTTCTGCAATAGCCTATCAAAAAGAAAAGACTATCTTTTACCCCTGCGCTGGACTAGTATTTCCCATGTAAAACACGACGTGCGAGGGCGCACTTAAATCAGACCAGTGTGTGAGCGAAATAGATCAATGGACGACGAATCTAGAGAACTCAACTGGGAACATGAAAACTGACTGTTTTCCGGATACTCACACCTAAAACGATGTACGCAATATTGTAAGTGAAAAACTATTTTGGTTTGGGGCCTTCGAGATTACTCTCTAAACTTGTTACAAGTGCGCCCGCATCGATGGTAGGGTACGATACAAATACTTGTACACTGGTTCGTGGAAAGAATGCAGCACTTACATTTTAGCACAATGCAAAGGCCGTACACACCTTCCGGTCTGACGGCACGGTGTCAAATCACACACGAATATTGAAATGATAACAAGGCAGTAAACTAATTTCCAAATCAACACGATAAGTTTCCAGCAACCGCAATGTAGCATTAAGTCTGTTGGTTTCAATTGAATTCATTTGTAACATTTATTGACATGATAATAAGAAAATCACGCTGGCACTAGGTCCAACATTACCAATATATACGATGTAATGTAGTACGATTTTTTTATTATCAGTGGGACTGATATAATGCGACGTACCGTAACATGGGGCGATTTTTGTGTAGATTGTGGGAAGATTGTGAATGTGTTATCGCGGAAGAATGCTTTTGCGAAACGTTAATTGTTTTCAAAACCAGGCTCAGAGACTGGTCAGCCGGGGAATCTGATTTCGCAAAAGTATGACCCCACCAACACCACCAAGCAAAACACAAAAACAAAACAGGGTGGGAGTGCATGCATTGGTTGTTTATTTACAATTACAAAATACAATAAATTTTATAATAAACAAAATAAAATTTCATGAATATTTGTGTGTAATAAAAAATGTACAATAATCATTAATTAGTAAATATTGTGTCTGTTTAAACTATGTATTTTTTTTTGGCACATAACACAATTGATTGCCCCCTCCCAGGCAATGGGAAAAAGGCATGCCCCCAATTCAATTTCAAAATAGTTTGGCCCCCTGTGTTTCCCCCGGCACCCCAAGCCGGAAAAGAATGACCAGTCCCTTAGTCTGCTTTTCAAAGATGGCTGCCTCCATGTTATGAATCGTGTTAATATGGATTCGGAACAAAACATCAGCGAGGATGCTAGGAGCAAGGGAAAGCTCGGATTGATATTGGTTGGCGTATCAGGAGCACTCGTTGCTGGTCTTTATGCTATCGCAACCCCATTTGTGTTGCCGGCTTTACGGAAAGTCTGTCTTCCGTACGTACCGGCCACTACAAAACAAATAGAAAACGTAATGAAAGCTATTCGAGGTAGAAAAGGAAATCTCATTGATATTGGAAGTGGTGATGGTAGAATTGTGAGTAAACCGCGTTTTTTATATTTCCCAAATAACTTCACAGTGGACATAGATTGTTGACCGTAGCAGCGGATTGGATCACTTCCGGTTTGGCATTTGAAGCAACTTGAGTACGTTTACTCGTGGAGCCTGGAGGTAAAAAAGAGGCTCCATGTTTTAATACCGGATTTTTGCCAAAACCAACCTCACAAACAAATGCAGAATCAAAATAGGATTTATAGCATTATACAGTAACATATCCTAGAATCTATTCAATGTTTCACTTGACTATATGGCAATGGGAGTAATCTCTCATCACATTCTGTTATTGAACATAGATTTGATTGGTTGAATGATTATTTCTTCAATATATAAAACATCAAAATGAATCAAAACTAAATTTCCCAGTTTGGCAACTGCTGGGTAACGCGTCTTCCTAAAAAAATGTAATTTTATGTAGCTGTATAGTTGACCTGAGGCACAAATGAACACGTCTCTGATTACGTTCGTTTTTCAAAATGTGAATATTTTATAACTAAACTTTAGTAAAGCATAACCCTGTTCTCTAAGGTCTATGAGTAAAGTAAGATGTCAATGTACGGTTTTCTATTGTATCAGTGACATGTCAGCATAACTATGGTACTAGTAGTTGTATGAATCTCTGCATTAGTAGTGTCATATTGAGCACACTGATTGGTAATGACACACTACTTACATAGGAGCATGGTTGACTACCTTTGAACGAAACTTGAAACTTTACAACAAAAACAATGTCACAGATTTGACGAAACAAAAACTAAATAATTCAATTAGACAATATTACATCAACAAATGAAATATAGACAACAAAAGGGAAAGTGCCAAATTACGCACATACAGGACATTCAAAAACTCCTTGGAACAAGAAGAATACATAAAAGTGATGAACAACCCACAACATGTCAAAACAATAGCTCAATTTAGATTAAGTTGCCATAAACTTGCCATCGAAAAAGGTCGTTATACAAAACCAAAAACACCAGTGGAAGACGGGTTATGCCCCCATTGTAACGAAGTTGAAAATGAGGAACATCATTTAATACATTTTACACAAAACAAAGAGACACAATGTTTCACACTATCAACAGTGTAAATGCGAATTTCTTGAATTTGGATAAAGAAAAACAATCAATCAAATCAATCAAAAGATAAAGACATTATTATAGCCCTTTATGCATACTTGAATAAATGAACAAACAAAAGAATACACTCAATCACACTTACTTTACTTTTTATTTACTCAACTTTAGCTTACTTACTTTTTTTAGTTATTCATTATTAACTTTATTACATTTTAAACACCAAATTAGAAATGTAAAATTTTCTACACCGTTGTAATAAAGCTGTTATCTATCTTATCTATCTATCTACCGAGAGGCATTAGTGGAGTTGCATATATGTATTCTATGTATTCTATATCTACACTAATATATTACAGTGAACTATTGAAGAAATTACTAATGTTTTTCACAGGTGTTGGCTGCAGCACAGAACGGATTCAAATCGGTTGGCGTCGAGTTAAATCCCTGGTTAGTATGGTATTCCAGAATAATGGCAAGAAATCTAAAACTGTCAAAACAAGCTCAGTTTTACCGTCAAGACTTGTGGAAAATGAACACTTCAGAGTTTGATAATGTTGTTATTTTTGGAGTTTCACAGATGGTGAGTAGACGTTACAAAGTTACTTGTGAAACAATACAAGAGATGATAATTCAGGTTTTTTACAATTGAACGATGGTTTACTAGTAATCCCATACAAATACACAAAAATGATCATCAGTTTGAAACTGACAATACATTTGAATTGTTACTGGTAATCGCAAGATGTTCTAGTTTAGTTGTGTTTAGCACACATCCAAAGCAGGTCTTCAAATAGTGAAGAACAATTCAATTGTCAATGTCATGTTTTTAGTGACTTTGTCGAACAATGAAAAACATTATGTTTAAATATTGGGATAGTAATTAGCATTTTATCTACAGATGTGCATGAATTGGCTAAATTTGAATGAAATTGGTCAAGGCATACCCCAGAAACTGTTAATGACATGCACAAATGTAGATTTTTGGGACAAATAATGGCTGTCGGTTGAAGGTCAACAAAATGAAACAAAGCGAAATACTACGGTAGTACTTTTTTAAACTCAATCACGAAAAAAAAAGTACATAAAGAACCAACTATGACTGATATCAATGTCAAGTTTGAATGAAATCGGTCAAGGCATGTCCAAGAAATTGTTGGCGACATGTTTGAATTTTGTGAATTTTTTTGTTTTTGACGAAAACAAAAAATAACTGAACACAACATTTAACTCTTTATATCTTGCCTTTGTGCCCATTTTAACCCCAAATCTGTACAATTATAAAAACAAAATGGCCACCAGTCTGCAATTTTGAATCAAATCACGAAAAATAATGACGTGCATCAGTAACCCACTATGATTGATGTCAATGCTAAGATTGAATGAAATCTGTCAAGGCATGTCCTAGAAACGGTTGGGGACATGTCCAAATGTTACTTGGGACAAAAATGGCCGCCAGTCAGTCAAAAGTCAACCAAATCAAAAATAAATTGATGTGCAAATGTCTCCTATTATTACTTGTCTTTGTACTAGCTTTGAAGAAAATCTGTCCCAAGCCTCTCTGAGAAATGACGACAGATACACAGAACTCAAAACACAAGTCCCCATTTCGGACTATATCAGACGGGGATTGAAAATTGATAGAATTTTATGTTGTCCAGATAATCAGTTGACATGAGATTCGCACAACTCGTGACAGATTTTGATTCATGACTTAGTATACTTCAGACATGTATGTTTCAAGAGTTCACCAAATGCAGAATACAAATGTGTACCATATAACAGTTTTACTATAAAGTTTACTTACATTTTTTCAGATGTCTGATTTAGAGGATAAGTTATCCAAAGAACTCCATCCACATAGCAGGATAGTTGCTTGTCGGTTTCCATTTCCAACATGGAATGCAGTGGATATCATTGGAGAAGGCGTTGACACTGTATGGATCTATGATTATAAATGTGACCAGCACAGAAAGTAGTTGACACCAGCTGGTTGTATTTCGGAAATAGATAGATCCAAAATTGTGACCTGTCAATAGCTCTGCGCTGGAACCAAATTCCTTGGCTGCACTAAAATTACCTAGAAGTCAGTTTGTTGTGGAGAAACATTTTGTCCGAAATTCGTGGCATTTAACTGCAGGATGCACTGGTTGGCAAGAATCCGAGATGATCAAATCTGAATGAAGTTTGTTGTTGTTTAAAGTGCCTGTGCAATGCCCACCCACACGCTTCCCATTTTAGATCTGTGCCCCACTGAAATGGGCAATTATTGATTTTTTTGCTGAAAATGATTACTCGTATCCAAGTAAATTTAAGATATTTCCCGTGATGTAGCCACGCCCACCTATCATGAAACGGTCGACTGTTTCCGGATTTCCGACTCTCGCCGAAAGTGCGCCACCAATTGCAAAAATATGAGACTGTACTGTACTTTTATATCACTGTGTCATTCAATGTACAACTGTACTTTTAAACGATATACATTTTTTAATCGGCGTTTCTTTTGTCTATTTTATTTTATTTTTGAGAGAGCGAATTTTTAGAAGTTGTTTTCACAACAAACTTTTATGATGGTTAAAACGTTGTGTTGTGGGCGGTTGCAGTAATGCGTATAGTCATAGTGTAAGTATTTACACGTTTCCAATCGATCCGAAGGTGCGAAATCGGTGGACGAAAGCCGTGAAAATAACGAAAAAAGGTTGGGGTGGACTTCTTCCTAACAGCGTCATATGCAGTGTCCACTTCACCTCAGATTCTTTTTTTTTGAAAACTGTCCTTGTCCATGACAAAACAACTAGGTTTTAACGAGAAACGCCGACAATACAAAACGTTTTCGAAAAAATAGATTCCGGACCAGCCCATGATCACTGAGACGGATTTCAGAAGGAAGAGAGACGTTGAGTATGTGTTTCAAATGATTTGATTTTTTTGCGATCCACATTATCGCTTTATAGAGACCACCCGTGTTATGTAAAAGGTAGCAGTAATTTTGATAATGACACGAAAACGAAGCGTCGGACAAACAGGAAATTACGCAGCCCTTAGGCTGTCTTCATTTTAGCAGGCTAAAAATGTTGCCTTTACTTGCAGCTTGATCGGCGTAATTATTTACGGAATAGGAATCCGAGCTTGAGCTGTCAATGTATTTTTTTAATATGATGTCATAATCATGAAAATCACGCTAAATCCACTCTGAATTTGTCTGTATGTGAGTCGCTCTCAATTAAACGCCGCCATTCACGCACTTGTCCCCCTCATGACCGGATGCGTTCACCCATTACAACGCGGCAGTCATTTATTTAGTAACTGTATTTTGTCGTTTTTTTTTAAAAATTATTTCTCTATTTTATAAATCAATAGTATCTCGTAACCTGCTAAATAACAAGACGATTCAGCCGTCAAATTTGATTTTGTCCAATGCTGGAGTCCAGCGACAGTGTACAAACGTGCTCCGGTGACGGTGACGACCACTGTGACTAGCTACACCAGACCGGACATATTTCGCATCTGACTCAACCCCATGCAACAAACTTGGTACTATGTGTTCATTATGGTCCATTCTTCCTCGACGA